TGCAACGTCAGCATGAACCACAAGGTCGGTGACTTAAACTTACCAGTTGCTCTTTGGAAACCCCGTACAGGATTGGTATAAGCCGGAACCAACTTGACAGAACTTAACAACAACAACAAGAGGATATTGAAATGAGGAAGGGCAGAGTGCAACACTTGAGATTGTGATATTTGTGAGATTCATAACTATAACTTTTTCATTTTTTGTTCCCATCAGAGCCTTCATACAATATGAATGTTTTCTTTGCTTGATATTCAGTGATATCTTATTATTCATACTTCTTCTATAATAATAAAAGTATATAATGCCTTTGAGAGAAAGCAGGAAATACTCCGGCTGGAGATGCTTAGAGGATCATATTGGTAATTCTCACATATGCGTAGTCCTGATGAACAATATTTTTTCAGAATTTCTCTGTAACTCTGATATCCACATTGCTTAAATAGATTGAAGATTTTTTTTTCCCCATGATGTTGGTAAAGAAAACTGAATATATCACGTGACCAAATCAAATTTGGAATAATTAAAATGAAAATGTGTGTTAGAAATGAGGATGATGACACTTCATCTCGCATAATGTGGACATGTTATCAGGAGCGACCAATCCCTGGAGAAGGACATCATGACTGAAAAAGTAGATGGTAAACCAAAAAGAGGAAAACCCTCAGGGACATAGATTAACACAGTAGCGGCTACAAAGGACTTAAACATGGAAATGATTGTGAGGATGGCACAGGTATGGGCAGTGTTTCCTTCTGTTGTTCACAGAGTTGCTATAACTCAGAACCGACTTGACAATACCTAACAACAACCATACAAATATGCGAGTCAAGAAATTTAAGTTTTGTGGTATGATGCATGCTTGTCATATCAGTTTCTTAGGACTGTCACAAGAAATGATCACACGATTGGTAGTTTCAGACAACAGAAATATTTTTTTTTATAGTTCTGGACAATAAATACTTGAAATAAAATTATTGTCATGGACATATTCCTTCCAGAGGCCTTAGGAGAAAATCTCTTTTTTCCTACTTGTTTCTGATGGGTCCGTGTGTTACTTGGCCTGTAGCACCACCTTCTGTCTTCATCCCTACCTGGCTTTCTTATCTATGTTACAGTTACAGAGAAATTCTGTGTCAGTGTGTGTCTCCCATAAGGACACTGTCATTGGATTTATGTTGTTAAGGGCCGTCGAGTCGGTTCCAACTCATGGGGACCCTATTTAGGCTTTCCCAGGAATGGCTCTTGTGTTTGAAATGCTGACTTTGAGGTTCAAACCAACCTTACGGTCCAGTGCTTATGGCCCACCCTGTTGTTGTTGATGCTCACTAGTCAGTTCTGCCTCTCAGTGACCCTGTACAAGGTTTCTGAGAAGTGCTAGTGGGTTTGAACCATTGACCTTACAGTTAGCAGTCCGGAGTTTATTCTACCGTGTCACACCAGGAGTCCCACCCAGAAAAAGCTGTAAAGAACTCTGGTGGTTCAATGGTTAAGCTCTCAGCTGCTAATCAACAGGTTCACATTTTGAGCCTTCCATTCACTCATGCTCTGGTAATGTAGTGATTACGAATCGGGCTATGAACTGCAAGGTCAGCAGTTCGAAACTACCAGCTGTTCCGCAGGACAAAGATGAGGCTTTCTGCTCTCATAAAGATATACAGCCTCGGAAACCCTGTACAAAGTCGCTATCAGTCAGAACTGACTCCATGGCACATAACCACCACCACCATTCACTCTAAGCTGTGGTATTTCCAATAGTTTCATATGCTTGTAAATGTTGGACAATGAATAAGCAAAACTGTAGAAGATTTCATGAATTTGAGTTATGGTGTTGGAGAAGAATATTAAAAGTAACAGGGACTTCCCAAAACAAACAAATTTGTACTGAAGATATACAGCCAGAATGTTCTTTAGAAACCAGGATGGTGAGACTTGTTTTCTCATATTTCAGACATGTTATCCTGACAGACTATATGCTTAGTAAAGTGGAGGGTCAACAGAAAAGAGGAAGATCCCCAATGAGATGAATTGGTACAGTGGCAGTTGCAGTGGGTTGAAGTATAACAACAATTTGAGGAATGGTTAAGGATGAGGTAGTGTTTCGTTTTGTTGTGCATAAAGTTGCTATGAGTCAGAAATTACTTGATGACACCTAACAAGTAGCTCCATGGGAGATATATGTAGCAATCTTTGTTTTTTCGTTTGTTTGTTTGTTTTTGCTGTTGTTGTTTTGTACTTTTTGTTTTGAATTGATTGAAGGTTTACAGAGCAGCTCATCAATTTTACATTCAACAAATTACATCCTTCCTTTCATTTCTATGATTACAATCCCCTCAATGTAGCATCACTTATCCCACTCCCTCCCTTTGATTATTTTTTCCTTTCTTGCTTTTCTACCAACACATCTGAATTTTGTCCCTAGATGAGTGCTTCCTTTTTGATCCTGAATGGATGACCATTCTATGGTGTAAATACCTCACTAGTATTGTCATTCCCCCTGTATACCTGTAAATGGCTGAAAATTGAGCCATGAGTGTGAGTTGAGTTCCAGACCTGGAAGGTGACCAAGGACCAGAGTCTCAGGTTCCTCTAGTGTGTTTCTGAGAAATATGTCTAGTCTCTTTTATAATTTAAAATTTTGTTCCATATTTTCTCCCACTCTATCCAGGACTTTCTAATGTGATCCCTTTAAGAGCAGTTGGTAGTGATAGCCAGACACCATATAGTTCTTCTGGTTGCAGGATCAGACATTGAGGCTCCCACGTTCCTTTAGTTAACTGGACTAATTGTTGTGTCTTCTTCCATAAAGATTGCTATTGTTGTTGTTAGGTGCCATCGAGTCGGTACCAACTCATACTGACCCTATGCACAGCAGAATGAAACACTGCCTGATAAGATCAGAGTCTTGGAAATCCTACGGGGAGTTTCTACTCCTTCTTATGAGGTCTATCTCAGTTGGAATCTACTCTATGTCAACACATTTTGGTTTTAAGAGAGCACAGTTTCATCTTATCCTAACCATAATTACATCTTCAAAGACCCTATTTCCAAAAAATATATATCTTGAAATTCTAGGTGGACATAAGTATTTTGGATGGAGACACTATTCAATACATTGTAATTGAGTTAATCTACGTATGGAGTCCTGGTGTGGCACTATGGGTTAATGTGCCATACTGAAAAGCTGTTTGAACTGCAAAATTGGCAATTAAAGTTCACCAGCTGCTCTTCAGAAACCCCGTACAGGGTTGCTATGGGTAAGAATTGACTCTATGGCACTTAACAACAACAACAACAATGTACGATTCAATACTTTTCTAGTACACATAGAAATGAGTAGAAATAAAATTATCAGATAACTGGTATATTATAATAAATTTAATAAATAGATATGTATTTACTAAAGAATTTGAATCAGCATGTTTTCCAGATGCACTGAACAATCTTGAGGATAATAAATCTAATTCTTTCTGGAAATAAATATATCTTCAAAATTGCATTGAGTAGGTTATTAACTTTCTGACTGTCTCTTTCACATCTTTGTTCCTGAGGCTGTAGATCAGGGGGTTCAACATAGGGATGACCACTGTATAAAACTCAGATCCTATCTTCACTATGAGCCCTGAGTTTTTAGAGGAGGGTACACAATAAAGAAACAGGACAGTCCCATGGAAAATGGCAATGGCTGTCAGGTGGGAGGCACAGGTAGAGAAGGCTTTTTGGCGTCCTCCATCAGAAGACATCTTTATGACAGTATGAAAAATGAAAATATAAGTGGTGAGGATGATCACCAAGCTGCTTGCCTCATTGAATACGGCAATTGCAAAACAAAGCAGCTGACTGATGTAGGGGTCAGAGCAGGAGATAGAAACAATGACAGAATGCTCACAGACGAAGTTATTTATAATTCTGGAGCCACAGAAGGATAATGTCAGGAGAAAATAAGTGAGTGTCAAGGAAGCAGCTATTCCCCAGGTGTAGGGCCCAGCTACTAATGATGCACAGAATTTGGGGGACATTATGACTGTGTAAAACAGTGGGTTACAAACTGCCACAAAACGGTCATAGGCCATCACTACCAGCATGAATGTTTCTGCAATTGCAAATACACAAGCCAAGAAGAACTGCATGATGCACCCTGTAAAGGAGATGGCTTTGTCTTCCACAACCAAATTTTCTAATAATTTGGGTGTGACTATAGTCGAATAGCAGAAGTCAACAAAAGATAAGTGGCTGAGGAAAAAGTACATGGGGGTGTGGAGTTTGGGGTTGATCCTGATGATCATGATCATGCCCAGGTTGCCCACCACCGTGACTGTATAGATGATCAAGAAGACCATGAAGAGGGGCTTCTGGAGATCCAGGAATTCTGAGAAACCCAGCAAGATGAATGTGGTCCCAGCACTCTGATTTCCTTTAGTTAATACCATGGTTGTTGCTAGAGAAAAACTGAAGTAAAGAAAATAAGCATTAATAGCAATAGTAATGATCAGAACACACCTATATTAGACTTGCCATGTTTTATGCACATTAAAATTTGTTTTAAATTGATTAAAATCTCAGATTAACAATATAAACTATTAAAAATAATAATCCCATAGTTTCCATAAGGAAACTGGAATATGTAAATTAAGGAGCTTGTTTGAGGTTGAGGGAAGGTTAGGTTTAGGACAAAGGGTAGGAATAGGTGTAGGAGTAGGGTTAGAATTTGACTTAGGGATAGGGTAATTGTAGGGCATAGGGCTAGGTTTACATTTAGGGGTAGAAGGAGGGGTAATGATAGTGGGTTTTGAATCAAGGAAGTTGATCCTGAGTTAGAGAACTTAAATAGATTTTTTTAGCATGGTTGCAATTTTAGAAAATATATGTATTTCACCATTCTGTAATTTCAAAGGTTGGTGTTTATTAATAGCATTATAATAACAATGAGTATAAATTTCATGGTGTAAAGAAAAGAAAAATGATCAAGTTGAGTAAGGAGAGGCAAATTACTAGACAAGAGATAAGTATGAGCATTAGAATGTTCAGTCTGAGGTTCATTAAATAGCCTGGCTTTGGGAGGGTTGTTGTAAAGTGCAGTCAAGCCGGTTTCAACTCATAGCAACCCTGTATAGGTTTTTTGAGGAGCTGCTGGTGAGCTTGAACCACCAACCTTGCGATTCAAATCAACCTTGCAGTCCATCACATTAACCTGCAGCGTTTTACTAAAAGCCTATGGGTGTTGAAGAAGACATGTGATTGCCGTGGAGTCCTTTATGACTGTTTATTGTACAGAAATTTAAAATATATTTTCCCAAGTTTTTCTTATTTTCCAAAGCAAGTTTTCCAGTAGTTACATAACCACACTGTAAGTTTCCAATGATGGGGATACTATCTATTGATGAACTGCTGAGAAGTTTTGGCTAGAGCTATATTTGTAGATATCTTGTTTTGAGTCATAACCTTTATATGTGCTATTTTGAGAAAATGGCAATCCTGCATTCTCAGCTTATAAACAAAATATTAAATGTGCCAATAATACATTTTTTAAAGTGTACTTAGAAGAAAAAATCCTCTAAAATTTGCAGTTTAATAAAATACTTTTGGTGTGAATCCCATAAATGAAGACACTATGACACCTTTTTGGGTATTCAGATCAAGATTAAAAGAGATAATTTCCTTTAGAATAAAATGCTATTTCTGACTTTAAAAAGAAAAGATTTAATGAGGAAAAAAATCAAATAGAGATTGACAAAGTGCTTACGATTGACTCAACACAATAAATAGCACAATGTAAAATGGACTTAATTTGTTTGAGGCTTTGTCATGTGCTATGTGGTCCTCTGGAGTCTTGTTTTGGTGCTGTGGGTTAATGCACTGGACTGCAAAGTTATTTGAACCATGAGGTCAGCAGTTCAAGCTCACCAATCACTCCTTACAAAACCTATCCAAGATCACTATGGGTCAGAACTGACTTGATGGCACTTAACAACAACAACAGGTGACCTTCTATGAGTTATGCAAATTTTCTCAGCCTTGGTTTCTTTACTATAATTATGATAAAATAAAAATAAAATAAGCCATGCCTCAAAAATGTGAAAGCATTAGATTATAAAACAGTATTAAAATACCAAACTCAGAGTCTAACAAACTGTAGAAATTAATAAATTTAGTCTCTCCACTCTCTATTTTAATTTTCAATGCTATGTTCAACTTTTATGATTCATACTCTTTATATTATAATAAAACATCTAAGAACTAAAGGAAGGGCCAAAGTGGCCAACAATAAATATTAGTTTACAATTTGGACTTTGAGGGGAAGAAGTTTATCTTTTCAGAATCTCCTTTGACCTGCATAAACTTTATTTATCAATTTCTGTCCTTCAAAGCATTTTCCTTATTCCCCTCTTGTTTCTTATCACTATCTGGCTCTGTCTGGTCATCCTTTTCTTACCTCAGGTTGGTTCCAATGAAAAATATATCAAACTTCAAGTACTAAACAGGTGGATTATAATGGATGTATAGTCCGACACTGTAAAATAACCTATTTCTTTGTCTCTGAATTATAGTGGTTATTACAAGAATCTGTGGCTTGGAAGACCTCAATTATTCCATATAACCTAACATATCAAATCTAACTTTCTTTGCTCTATTTACATATTGTCCCACTTGCATTCTTTTGCAATCCTCCAATATTCTCAGGCTCTCATAACACATAGTCTCTTACTCATTTGCTTCTCTGATTTTTCCTTTTACTTTGAATGCTCGGAGTCTGTTTTCCAGTCTATTAATGCACCACTTGCTACACAAAACAGTACATAAAAATGAATACCACAATGAAATTTATCTTTTTAATCAAGAAATATTTTTCACATTCTTTGTATGACTACAGACACTATTTTCAGGAAAACAAACTTCCAGGTTTATTACTACTTTATGCATATTATTATCTTATTTATACAGTATTTCGTGGCTTTGAGAATATGCACACATTTTTTAGTATATTTTCAAAGCCTGTATCATTTTAGGTATATGGTGGATAATCTCAAAGCAGAAATCAGAATGATACATCAGAGAAGGAGTTAGGGAGTAGAGTTTAGCAACCTTAATCTTCAGGTGCATGGGATGGATGGATAATATAGTATCTGTAATAATACAGTGAGTGCCCTGATTCCAAGGCTGCAAACCATTTCAATGCCCCAGACACATGAAAGACAACACAAGATACATCACCCAACTTGAAGCCAACTTATGTGAAGATCCAAGAAAGCTTCCACTCAGAATTCAAGCAATATCACGTATATAAATATAGCAGTGACTCACAACAAATTTCAATTAATGTTTTAGGGATATGCGTTGTTCTTTCATAATACCCAGAAAGCTCTGAATCTGGCTTCAAAGAAGGAAATGTAAGGCTTATGTATGCTTCCGTGGCCTGGGGAATTTAGACCCTAGAGTATTTACTCAACTATTTATTTTCCGAATATATATACATCAATTAGATGAAATACTCTCTCATCGCCATTCTGAAAGAATATAATTTCCTCTAAATCACTGGAGACAATGCCACATTAAATCTATTTCACGAATGACTTTTTTTTTTTAAGTTTTTATTGTGAGGTTTACATGGGAGAACATCAGCTTTATACCCATCCTATCGTATTTCCTTTCATTGCAATGATTACAATACCTTCCATGCAGCATCATATAACCCCAAAGAGTACACCACACAGGCCCGCCCCCATCCCCCGGCTGTCAGCACACAGCCCTTCTCCCTCCCTGAGTCCAGTGTCCCCAGCCGTTCCATCTGTCCACATCATCTTCTCTGTCTCCATCCCGGTTGTCACTGTCTCTCTGGGTAGGGCCTCGCTCTCCATTCTTCTCACTTGATGGTCCCAGGGACCTACATTCCCGGGCTGCAAAATCAATTACTCTCCTTCTTTTGTAAAAAAAAAAACATCTACCTCTATATTTCCTAACCTCACAGTCAGACCTGATGGCAATTATTCACTATTGTACCACAAGGTACATTTCCTTTCTCCAGCCCAGTCCCAATGGTTTGGAAATCATATAGTGGTGATTCTACATTCCCCCACCCCGTCTTGAACTAGGCTCCCTCTAGAAAGCCTGCAAGCCAGTCACTTCTTGCCTTTATAGGCCCCCCATTTTGGGTGGCCAATGTCTATGTTGCCCATCCCTGTAAACCCTGTGTACCAAGGGGGTTGGAGTGATCCTTGATATAAAGATTTGTTCCCTTTTTTGAGCTACTACATCCATAAGTATAGGTAAAGTTAATCAAATTATAGCAGGTTACTCTCCCCCCTCCCTTTCTTTCTTCTTATATTCAAGTTATGATTATCAAGCCATAGAAGCCAAGTCAAGTGGGTACTATCTGCAAGTATGGGTGTTCTTGTGCATCTTCCCTCACTTCATATCAGTTGGACGCTTCACTCTCCATTCTAGTCCTCTGTGGCCATGTCACTGCCTCTGGGCTCAGGAGTCCCCGGGTCTTGCCATACTGCTGGCCATCCTGGTCTCCTCCCAGGCTCACGGGGGTCTATTGAATGTAGTCGGGCTTAGCACCCAAGTTCATTGCTGCTTTTTCCCCCTCTTCCCTTATTTATTTTTCTAAATGTTTTATTGTGAATTATATGATAGTTTACATGAGAGAACTTTAGTTTTACATTCATTCCATCGTATATCATTCCATTGCCATGTTTTCAATCCCCTCCATGCATCATCTTCCGACCAAAGGGCATATCCTAGAAACCCGTCCTCTACACTTCCCCCTCCCCAGTCTTCGGCCCACAGTCCCTCTCCCTCTCTGGATCCAAAGTCCCCAGACACTTCATCCTTCCATGTCATCTTCTCTGTCTCCATCTCAGGCGTCCTTGCTTCTCTGGGTAGGGTCCTGCTCTCAGCTCTTCTCCATTGGTGGTCCCAGAGACCTCTGCTCCTGGACTGGAGAAATAATCACTCTCTTCCTTGCTACAAAACGTCTACCTTTGCATTTCCAACCCTCACAATCCGTCTTGATAACCAATATTCACTACAGTATCGCGAGTAACCCATCTGTATTTCATTGCATCAGCTCCACTTAGACAGATTGGATAGTACTCACTGGTGATTCTGCCTTACTCCATGCCAGCTAGCTCTAGGTTCCCTCTTGAAAGCTTGTAAGCCAGTCACTTCTTGCCTTTGTAGTCCCTCCCTCCCCATTTGGGTATCCAATGTCCAAGTTGCCCATCTCTATCTACTCTGTGTGTGGAGGGGGTGGGAAGGTTTCTTGTTGTAAGGGTTTGTTGCCTCTTTTGAGTCACTGCATTCGTAGGTATAGGTCAAGTTCATCAAATTGAATCAGCTCAATCTTTTTTTTTTTTTTTTTTTTCCTCCTCCCTCTTATTTCTTCTCCTGGTTGAGCTCTGATCATCCAGTCATCCGGTCCAGGTCA